CAATAGATATTAAACAAGCACAAATGCATACACAGACTGAACAGGCAATACAGCTGTTACTCAATTCTAGCATCAGTACAAGAGCCTACAAACCTGCCTTATATGTATGCCAGGAATCTGCAGTTCAGAGAATCTCTGTTATCAGAAAACTTGACAATAACAAAGACATCCTATTTATGTCTCTAGGTGTTTGTGATCACTTGGCATCTGATTACAGGACAAAACTGAAACTGTAATATCATATTTTGCAGATGCTTCTCAGCTACTTCCTTTCTTTCTTTCTTATCTTTCATTAGTAAGTATATCCATCTAGATGTTTAGATGTCTTCCATCAACATTTAATCTGAGTATTCGTAGCATTTTACCATGTGTTCATAATTAGTAACTTTAAAGCTGTTCATCCTATACATGGTGGTTAAAGCACATAGGACATAAAAGAAGCATGGAAATTGAATTTGAAACCAAATCCAAGTCTCTGAGGGTGGAAATAATCTCAGTAATATTATCAGCTAAATATTAGTCACCTCCTGAAGTAAACATGCAAGCTCCCACTAGAGCCAACAGAAAGAAGCATACCTTCCTCAGGATGGTTGCAGAAGTACATTTTCCTTTTTCTTAAATGTAAAAGGAGACAAAATATCTGTCTTAGATAAGAGTCCTAAATTGTAGATAGTCAAATCAATTAGTCCCAGTCTTAATCTTCCTTCCCTTCTCCCTGCTTTTATTGTCCTATGTTTATACAGTCTTAAAAATAGTTTCCTACAGAAGGCAAAATGTGCCTGAGGATGTGTCAGAGTTTTGTCCCCACAAATGAAGTGTGTAAAATCACCAACAGCACAGCTGATGTTTTTATGCTCAGCACAGCACATTAGTTATGCAGGCATCTCCCTGCTCTGAATATCTATTGAAAATTTGGTGCATGAGAAATTCAGTTAATAATTATGCCAGCAAGTGCATCACAAAAATAAGAATACAACTGCACATATGTCAAACCAACATCTGCATGCTAATGAAATGACCACTTTGGAAAAATATTTTACGGTCATCCATGGCGTGTTGAGAGAGGTGTATCTCTGTGAAGGTAGAAACACTGTGAAGGTGTCCGAACTTTGACAGTTAATTTTTCTCTAAATCAGTAATTGTGTAGCATCAAATACTTAAAAGCACTTGAATCTTTCTCATTTTTCTTTTTTTCTTTACTCTCCAGGCCTTGTAATGGGATTAATTATACGATATGTGACAAAAGCATCAGATGTGGAAAGTGGGACCGTTTATGAATGTGAAAAGCTGAAATCTGGGCCATCCACTCTCCTCATTAATATAACAAATCAGGTCTATGAATATCAATACAAAAGAGAGATCAGCCATCACAATGTCAATGGACACCAGGGCAATGCAATGCTTCAAAAGGTAAAACTTATTTTTGTTCTTAACTGTGTAGGATATTTATTTTATCTTCACTGTTGAGAGAGGAAAACAAGTTTCAAGTTAAAATGTGACAGAGGGTATTTTGAATTTAGGGTGAGAAAGGTAAGTGAGGAAGGATAACAGGAAAGGAAATAAGGTGCAGTAGAAACCTGACCATCCTTTCACTCACAGCTCACTGTATGCTTGTGGAATAGTTGCCTGGACTCTTTTAGAGGGCAGCCCCAGATCCTGCAGACACTGAGTTCATTGCAGACACAGCTGTTAACTTGGATTCATTGCCACCAAACCTTTATAAACCCCACTGATATCTTTATTTGTCCTCTGTCTTAAAAAGGACTTGCTCTGGCAGGCTAATGCAGGGGAGGTTGTCTCCTGTGTACAGCACAAGTAACTACAAACTCTACACATTCTTCAAAACACAAACTTGTAAATATGTAAACTCTCATAGATAAGTGGAGGGTTTTATAATTCTTAAATTCATCACGACATTCTTGTACATTCTTCCCCTCCTGCAGTGGTCCTCAGCAGGGATTTCACTGGCTGTCCCCAGGCTTCGGGAGATGGCATTGTGGCAATTTCGGCTGAATGGAAAAAGGGAACTGTGGGGAAAAGTTTGCAGCCTTTCACAATGTCATGGCCTTTTCTGTTTTCCAGTGTGTAACAGTTAAAATATTTTACTTTGTTAGTATATTCTTTCCCCACCCATGTAGTATTTACTTGTTATAATATTTACTTCCCTAAAAAATGGCAGCAATTTGAAGAACTCTTGAGTGCATAGGCACTTTTTAAAACCTGGCTTTTGTGCTCAGAGACATTGCATATTCACATGAAGCTTCTAAGCCCTTACCAGTGGCTTTTTACAATATTGCAATGTAGTATTTTGCTTTTTTCCAAGTGCTATTGTTTATCCAGCACAGTAATGTGTATTCCTATATACTCCAGTGGTTATCATTATAAAAACTTTTAAGTTATGCTTAGAATGTACACTGGGAAGCTCAGCAGAATTAGGACTTAACCATCTGCTCAAATTTCTTGCTGATGCAGCACCACTGTGTGTCTGTCTGCTGTGACTGCTGGACTTGCCCTTCTCAGAAAGAACTAGACTGTCAAGGACTATTAGAGCTGTGGTGGGTGGAGACAGGAAAACACTGTGGCAGTCAGACTAATCAGGTTTTGCTGAATCTTCATCCATTTTCCTGCTAGTTGGTTGCAAGAGCTTTGTCTGTGCCAAAGTGCGTGTTTAGTTTCCAGGGCATATGTCCATTCTATTTGAACATCTTCATCAAACCTGGTACACTGGAGCTGACTTGTGTTATGAGAAGGGAGGAGCACTAACTTGCACAGAAGATTCTGTTGCCCGTACAGGGGATTGCCCAGTTTTCTTTCCATAGTCTCACTTTGTTGGAAGGTTCTTAAAAGTCTCAACTGTGAATTGCAGATTTCTCTATGTTACTGGAGAGGCCTTAGTCTGCCTGGATTTTCACTTCTTTTCCCTTTAAAATTATCTGGCAAATGCCCTCTTGAAAAGAAAATAAAGAAAAAAGGAAAAGGAGAGAAATTCAGCCATATTTAGGAGACAATAGCAATCGCTGGCAGCCTTCCTGACTGGCAAAAGCACTACTGTAAAAAGCAGAAAGCATGATCACACCATTCCCTCAGTTTTGTACAACTTTAATTCCCTTTGGAGTGCAGTAAAAGCATTTATGTATTGCATTTATCAGAGAGAATAGATTGTGCCATGCCTTATAAACATGTATAAACAAAACCCTTTAGAACAGGGTTTTGAATAATAAAACATGCAGTCAGGATTTCGGATGCCTGTGGAAAAGATATTTTTACATATTTGCTAAATTAATTCCAAAACAAACATTTGAGGCTGTTAGTTAATAAATGAAGAAAATCTTTTTCTGTCATGTTTTCACTGAAGGTACCAGCACAGATACAGTTCCTAGGAGGTTATTTGCCAGCTCACTTTTTTCAGCTTTCTAATTCAAAGTAAGCAGGATGGAAAAAACGTTGCAACTCTCACTTCCTGTTTATCAAATCAGGTTGTCTGTTAATAAGAAGACAGAAGTAATTACTCTTACTCTTTTGAAACTAAATAATTATTCTAGAATACTGTAGCCTTAAAATATCACTTCATCTGAACAAGTAGCTGCAAGCCTTTGTGTTAATTACCTCCTGCCTCTTTTAAAAGTATTGATATAATACAGCCCACCGACAGAACAGTAGAGCAGCACGCAGGCCCATTAAAGTATTTTTTTCTCCAGCAATGCTATGGTTTTAAAGTGGATTCTATTTTATTGAAAGCTACCTGTAATGAATTGGAATGACTGAATGTTGTCCTTGGCCTTTCTCTGTGCCAGAAGTTGAAGGCCAATATGAAGAGTGTACTGACAACAGCTGGAATAGGAACTTTTCGGTTTACTTTAAAATTTTTAATGGATATTTTACAAAAGGTTTCCTTCAAAGGAAACATTACATCAGGTTTGGCAGTGTAGGCCTTTTCTTATATCACTCTTCTGTACACGGGGAATTGAGGCACAACGCTGCCGATGCGTCTTTCCTGAAACTGAACTGGAGGTCCATGTCTGAAGCAGGAATTCAGCCATGGGACAGTCAAGTTGCCTGGTAGTGCAGCTACTATCACAGCTACCACTGCTTGTATGTGTTCCCTGGAATATAGTACATGACTGATTTCCTTCTTGAAGGAATACTTTTCAAGTAATAATCTGCTTCGTTAAGCTGTAAGGAACTACACATTTATACTTGCAAGAAAACAACTCAGAATAATCCTGCAGACATTGAAGATGATCCTCAGATCAGTCTTGATAAGAAGTTACAATTAGAATCTATCCTATCAAATTAAATGCTGCTTTATTTGTCCTTACCCTCTCTTTTGTCCTTTCTGGCAGATGACCTTTGATCCTTCCATCTTCTTCAATATTTTGCTGCCACCCATTATATTCCATGCTGGATATAGTTTAAAGAAGGTATGTGTCTCTTTTTTATATGACAAAAGGGACTGAATGTGGCTGCTTCTCTGTAAGTCCGACAGGCCAGTGACAGAGGAAAGGGCCAGTTAACAACTACATTGCGCGGGAAGAACTTGACAGGAATGGCAAAAAAATGAGCGATGCATGGCCTCATTCTGCTCTCTTTCTGCCACTGTGCAAAGGTCTGACTGTGTGGGTTATAACACTTGGGCCTTCCTGTTTTCAGAAGAGACCACTTTGAATCTGGTGAACTGCAGGCAGCAGCCTGTCTGTATTTCATACACTGCCTGATCAGGGCTTTGTTTGTTCAAGGGATGGGGTCATGATACCTTTTGGATCAGATGCCTTCAGCATGAATGTCAGTTATGATCATGGAGCATTTGTCCAGATCCGTGAATGAGGGAACTTTGATGGCATTCCCCATGAAAAAAAATTAAACATCTTAAATTGTATTTTCCAAAATAACTCAAGTAGCCTATATTGTTCCATCTTGTATTTGAGATATGTGTAGTAACAAATGGCACTTCTAGATGCAGTGTTTCAACTTGGACTGAAAGCTCTTTTATTTACTGTATTACAAAGGACTTTTTTTCAAATTTTTCTCTCCAGAGACATTTTTTTCGTAACTTAGGATCGATTTTAACCTACGCCTTCTTGGGAACTGCCATCTCCTGCATTGTCATAGGGTAAGTGAATGCCTTCTGCTATTATTGCATGCTTGATATCTTTTTCAATTAAAAGCTAAACTGTAAAAAGAATTGCAGACCTTGCATGGTCAATATAGTTACCAATTTGTGTAACAGATTAAGTAATTCCTTATTAGAAAAAGGCAAAACTCTTGGATAGCCAAGAACTGCCCCAGGCATTCAGAAAATTGTGTCCTTCATTTCTGGACTATGACTGCTGCAAGTATGAGCTGCCTTCCACACTCCGTAGGTTTAACCATCTGTCCTGAGAAACAGAACCATTATCTCAGGTGAAATTCCATGCTACTAGAATTCCTTCTAGAAAAGAGCAGATCTCCAACAGAAAAGAAAGGATTTTAAATCTCAGAGGGAGTAGGAACAGATACCTGGTAGCATATATGTAAAAAAAAACCCTGGAGTCATTTCACAGACTAAGTGAAACTTTTTAGTTGAAGATCACAGGAAAAGCCTCAGTCTGGAACGATGTGTGAATTTAGCCTGGATGTGACTAAATGGCTCCTGCAGAAAAAGAGGAAGGGGGAAAAGCAGAGGGACAAAACATCCTGGTTTATTTTCGTATCTCCTTAATGAAAAATTTCTAATTTTGTTTCAAAATTTGCCTAAATAAAAAAAGTATTTGCTAGTCAGAAGTGGATTATATATTTCCAGCTGGCATGATGTGAAACTTCTGTTTATCAGTTTGATTAGGTCAATCAAAATTATACAAACTGCTTAAAAATCCTTTGGGATCTTAAAAAATCAAGTCTTTCACAATATTTATGAATATCACACAGACACTTCAGCTCTCATGTTCTGGGAAAATTCCTGATGCAGGTGAAAATAAATGACCAGAGTTGGATTCTGCAGTCAGAAGGGGCCTGCACAGAGCCTTACTGAGGGAAGCAGTTCACTGCTCACAGTTTAACCTGTATGGTCTGGGGAGGTGATGCAGTAGTGCTGCATGTAAGTGAGTAAGTCTTGCTGAGAGGCCTTGATCTTGCTGGTACAGTGCAGAATTAAAATGGAAAAAAGTCACAGAACTCTCTGGTGTTCAGACTTTAGACTAGGAAACACACCATACCTTATAGGCCTTATTTGAGGGTCTGGGCTGTAGAACTCTAAAATATACCATTTATATCTCTGCATGATATGGAAAGATATGTGGAAACACTTCAGGTATTGTAAGGGTGCTTGAATTTAAAACTGGTCCGAATTCTGTACATATAAATAGCAGTTTCAAGTTATAGAAGCAGTTAATTTTTTTAATGTCAGTCTTTTCCTTCCTTTATATTAAAGACGTATGTGCTGCGTCAAGGTATAAGGTCCTCGCTGGCATTATTATGAGATGGAACTTTCTCCTTTAATGCCATTTTAATGATAGTAAAATACATGAATGACCTATAACTTAGAGTTGAATGATTTTAAAACCATTCTTTTATGGGTATGCCATCACACCTATCTCGATATCCTAGATTCCAAATAATCAAGTAGCTTAGTAAGCATAATGCACCGGAGGCATTGTGGTATTAAATGTTCTGCAAGCTGTGTTCACTCCAAATGTCAGGAAACTTTAGACTCTGCAATGAAAAATGACATTCAAAGTATGATCACCTTCTGTGCTGAACTAAGGGGTGCAAGCTCTGTGTGTGGCTGCTTCCCTTTCGTGGAAGAAAAACCATGGAACATCCGTGGGCTGAGCAGAAAGGAGGCCTTCAATTCCAGACACAAATCTGCACCTACAGGAGGAATTGTGCTACATGTCCTATCTATTGGAGACGAAAAGCTTAATCTCACTTTTCTTTCTGAAATCTTTCTTTCCTTGAGAAATGGCATCTCATCACAACTCGAAGATCACAACTTGGACAGGTACACCACTCATATTTTTCCCGTCTTTATTTGCAATAATACACACCTCTCTACAACCCCTGCTCATGGAGTTGTTTCTTTTTACACCCATTTATAGGGCAAATAGCACCTCTAAGGTTGGAATTATAAATTCAGTAAAAAAATCTGTATCCTGACAACGGGTTGAGCTGAATGGTAGCACATTACTGAGGTAACAGTGATTCTGGACCACAGTAGCACCCTTCCTGTGCTTCCTCTCACTTGTCTCAGCTATTGAACATTTCTCCTGTAAACCAATAGCCAACAGCTCTGTGAGACTGCAGGAAAGCAGTAGGACTGTCCAGCCCAGTGATCATTTTAAAAATGCATTTGGTTTATGACTCTGACATGTGTCATTGCCCTTTGCAAATGGAAAATACCAGAGCAGCTTTGATGAAATTGTTAAAAGAAGCATAATATATTGAGTTTAGCCTATATTCCAAATACTTTCATTCCTGTATCCATGCAATTTTATCTAAAACAGAATGAATGCAGATAGAATCTACTACAGAAGGTTCCTGTTAGGAACAGTTCCTACTAGCACTTCAAAGTTCAAGCCCAAAGTCAAGGATGAAGATCCAAATGAAACCTTCAGTTAAAGAGGAGTAAGAACTGGGCCTTACACTGTGTTCTGTACAAACCCACAACCCCACTGGAATCACTGCAGGGAAGGCACTAATATATTCAGAGCAGGGCTTATGTGAGAGTGAAGCATGTTTGCATAATGTACATGTCAGGATAAGAAGGAGATACTGAGTGCACAAAGAAGAAAGGTTATATAAAAACTTTACTGAAGGGAATGAAAAATGAGTACTAAAAGAAAAACATGTCCTAAGAGAGAAGGGGTGAAGAACTATGGTTGCTGCTACAAAAGAAAGGACAGAACCCCGAGGGACTTCCAGGTTGCATTGCTGTGGACAAATATTTTGTGCATAGGTATGATTAAACACGTGCTTAATTTTTATTATATATGTGCAACACATACATGTACAGTACCTCGATATCCATAGGCTTAGGCTCTGTGCATCTGCAGCCTCGCACTGGGACTGTGCTCCTCCTGCCTGAGGGAGTTACAGAGCTCCCTGTGTGAACCCTGGAGGCTGTAACAAAGAAGGACCAGACCTCTCTTTCTCAACCAGAAACAGCTGGGAAATATCATTAATAAAGGACAGACACATCCTTTGGATTGCTGCAAACTCTTAGAGTGCTAAAACGTTGCCATGGAACACACTGATACAATGGTGCCTGTCTCCTCTTTGTGAGTCTTTGCTTTTGTGTGAAAGGCCTCAAGAAAGAGGAGCTGTGTGGAATTTGAGTGAAAAGGCTATAATCAGATATTCCCACTGAGGGCAGGGGAAGGAGGGGTAAGAGGGATTGCTTTATTTTAGAGAAAGCAGTGCTGAAATGTAATTGCTTTCTGCTAAATACAGCTCTAAGGAATGCCTGCCCATGTTAGCTGTAGCACTGTCCTTGGCCACTTAACAAACAGGCAAGTTATACTAATTTCTAAGCTCTCCCAGCAGAGCAAAATTATGCCCTTTGCACCAAGTCTGGCTAGCAAAGATCTATGTAGAGAGATGCCATGAGGTAAAGGAGAAATTCCCCCATTCCAAGCCTTTGCAGAATTGCTGAAATTGTCCCCTTCAGAGCAAAGACAGTCTGCTGACTCTGGGTCTGTATGACATAAGATCATATAAGATCTAGTCTCTCAACAGACCTTTTCTCTGCCAGTGGTTCCAGCCTCCTGCCTCCTGAAGAATAGTGTGGGATGATCACTGAGACAGCTCTTTATTCCTAAGAGAAACCATACAGGCCAAGACTCTCTTAGGTTTTCTCTGATACAGGGCAGGCAGACTCTTGCTGTAGCAGAGTACTTGAGTTTCATAGACTCAGAGAATAATTTAGGTTGGAAGCAATGTCTGGATGTCTGCAGTCCAATCTCCTAACAAATGCATGACTGGCTTAAAATTTAAATCCAGGTGCTCAGGACCCCATCCAGTCAACTTTTGAGTATCTCCAAGAATGTGATTTCCACTGGCTTTCTGGGAAATCTGTTGCAGTCTTAACCACCCTCACTACAACAACTGTTTTTCTGTATATCCAACTGGAATTTCCTTTGCTTCACCTTGCAACCTTTACCTCCCATCCTTTCCCTATGCACCCCTCAGAAGGTGGGTTGTCTATAACCACCTGAAGACAGCTCCCCTCCTAGTTACAAGAGAAAGCTCACCTGCTGCCTCTTCTCATATGTTATAGCCCCTAAATTATCTTAGTGGTTCTCTGCTGGACTGTCTCCTATCTGTCTTCCCTGTACTGGAGGTCCAAAACTAAACACGCTATTCCAGATGCCACCTTACAAGTGCCAACAAAGACTTAATGGCTTCCCTTGGCTTGCTCACTGTGCTTCCATGTACACAATGTGGTTTGCAGTTATGCTTCACAGTTGCTGTTGTGAAAGCCACTTCTGACTTGTGCTCAATTTGATATCCTCCTGGGCTCCAGGGGCTTTCTGCACACACCTATGTAGCCAGCCATGCTCCTGTGGGACTGTTGCACAGGGTTATTCCATCTTTTCCATATGTACCTTGATATTAGCTGTGTATTATGGCTGATTGTAAGTTGAAGCAGCACTGAGCTGAAGCTACTCAGTGAACACATGACAACTGTGCTGCTGAAAAATTAAATGAACATCTGCCCCCTCTTGCCTTTTCTTAATTTATTTTTTACATATTGGGCAGAGGCAGGGAGAAGGACGTAATTTCAACTTTTGCAAGGAATAGTGTTCCCTTCCCTTAGATTCTATTTTTAATAAACTGTGCTGGGATGCATCTTCCAGAATTGATATCTGTCATAGATATTTTGAATTTTGATAATGGAAGAGTGCTCAAGTATTTGGAAGAATCTTGACACTATGGTAACAGCCTATTGGAGCAACATACTGAGTGGCAGGGGGCGTAGAAAGATTTGCATTTCCCCCCCCTTAAGTCATCTTGACTTGATTTTCAGCGTTCTCAGTGGCAGCCAGAGCCAAGGTGCCTATGCACAGGAGCACTGGCATCATTAAGTTGGCCTTATCTGTGATTTTTTATTTGGTTTCACTTGGGTTTTCTCGAATTGCAATGCCAAAACCACATTTTTGATATTCAGAATGCAGCATGTTTGCAGTCACTTACTCATATTTTTCCAGCCTGTCTACTACTTTTGGCAAGGCCTGATTTTTCTGGAATTTAAAGCTTTCTAAGTGTGCAACTCAAATAACAAATGTATTTGCAGACAACTTACGCTAAGTTTGATCTATCTTTGTGGCTGCAGTGAGAATTTTACTTCAGTAAAGCTGAAATTAAAAAAATGGGGTTTGGATCAGAAAAAGTAGAGTAATTGTAGTTTTGAGAAAGTGAAGTTATGAAATTCACACCACTGATAATAATGGTATTAGGGAGAGTCATTCCAAGATGATCACTGTTTCAAGGGGAAAGATGTTGGTGTTTATATCAGCTACTCAGATTGCATAACCTTCCCTGGCTGGAGAGATAGGACTTCTCTGTATTTCAGCAGTTAGTTAGTTTGGCCTGACTAATTCCAGTATGTCTGTGAATACATGAGTACTTGCTTTACAATAAGCATATCAGATTGTTTCATGGTAATCAGTGCTTAAAATTGAACTTCCTATTAAAAAATCCACATAGAATCAAACTATTTCTTTGTGCATCTGTGTTTAATTGCAGTGATTAACATTTTGGAGAAAAAAGTCTCTTCTGACATTTAAATTCAAGAGTAAGGAGTAAGTCATCATCATACTTGATTCTCCCAGGCAGTCCAAGAATCCTTTCCCTTGCCATTCCTCACCATTCTACAAATGAATATTCAAATGCTTTCTGCATATGATCACTAAAGGAGATTATAATAATAGGATGCAATGGAGTATAATAAATATTTTCTAAATTCCTTCTTTTTAAAACTGAATCTTAAGTGGTTTTATTTGAGAACCAGAACAGTTTTTTGTTTCTATACACAGACATGCACATATATAAGTAAAAATTTATAAAAGAGAAAAAGAAATATTAAGGAATACCAAATATGAATCCAGATATTTTTGTAGGGAAAAAAAAGGACATGAGATTGGGTGTTCCATCATAACCTTTCCATGAAAGTAGAAATTTTCCATTCAAATATCTGTGGTATCAAGATTCCATCATCACATGATGTAATTATTTTTCTTCACTCTTAACTGCACTGTTTTAACAGCCCCTCTTTGTGCCTCCTGAAGGAGGAAGGGTTGGGCTGAGTTAATAACATTGTTGCTCAAATGCAGCAAGAGCAAGAAACGTTCAGCTTTTCTTTACACAGTTTACATGGGTAAGATGCATTCTGACATAACTGTACAGTCAGAGATTTAGTTGTCTCATCATTACACTTATACAAATGCAATTCTAAAAGTTAGGAGACAAATTGCTTCCACTGGCATACCATTAAAAAACGACTATTTACAATTAAAAATTTTTAGTAGAAAACAGTCTTTCAAAACAAACAATCAAACAAAAGTGTAACATTTTGTATGTGTGTGTGGTGTATTCATTTCCACCTAAAAAAGTCAGCTTGTTTTACAGCCACCTTCTCACCTACAAGTCGCTTGCTGTGGCCTCCTAGGAACATGGGGTGGGACTGGGGATGTACAGATATAGTGACAGTGTTGACACAGGTTCCACCTCTCCCTGAGCATGGAGCAGGCAGTGCACACCTGAGAGGCTCAGCAGGCAACAGTTGTGGTTACTGAGCATGGCTGGGGATTTTTTTTTATTTTCATAGATACTTTGATAGTTTGGCAAAGGCTAGATGGAGGTTTAGTCAGGTTATGAGTGTGTTTATTACTTTCTATTGGGAGCTCAATGGAATATACAAATGGGATCTGCTGATGTGAAACAGTACTGAGTTTATAATCTGAGTGTTCTTTCTCACCGGAGGGCTGAGGATAGACTTTACAACTTGGAAACAAAACACTTGTAGCTGTGTGCTTCAGCAGAGCAAAGCCAAATGTTGTTTGGCTTGAATTTACTGTGCAGTGCTGTGGGATTCTTCTAGATTTTGGAACTGTTTCTACAAGGGAAAATGGGGCCAGGTTAAGGGTAACAGGAAAAAAATCTTCTCTCAGTTACAGAGCTCTCCATAAACTAAGCAAATACCTTTACAAGGGTCATCTGTTGCTACACCAGCTCAGCTCTTGCCTTTCCAGATGATAACTTCTGTAATAATTTAGACTCAGTTCATGTTCAAAGAAAGTAGTATTTTTTTCTAGTTAAAATACTGTTTTCTACTGCACGTTCCCATCAAATGATAAAAAAATAACCTAGGTCCATCTTTCCTCCACACACCACCTGTAAATAGCAAATGCTTAACCTCCCCACAGGCAAGAATAAAAGCTTTATTCTTAGTACAAATACAAACTGGTGAGGAGGAGTGTTAATGTATCTTGGTGCTGTAGAAATTAACTGAGGGAGGAATAGGGAAAAATTATAAATAGACCATTTGCCCTCCTCCATAGTAAAACCCTCAGAACATCAGATGTCTGGCTTCAATAATTTCTAATGCTCTTTTGAAGCTGATATTCAGCCTAAGAGTGGAAATAAAGACAAAACTAGTAAGCAGACATTCACTTGAAGAGTACAATGCCTGTGTTTGTAGGGGTACAGGGCCTATGTTGGTACCCTTTTTGAAGGGTTTGGCTGCTTTCATGTCCCATCCTGGAGTGAATGCAGGCATTTTCTGTCAGTCACTATTGCCCCAGTTTTGCATTGACTTGAGGAAACTCAACGGAGATGATTTAGCTGAAAAACAAAGCTAAGTCTCTCCAGAGTCCTCCAAAGAAGGCAGCCTAACAATGAGTTTTCCAGCAGGAAAAGAGCTGGTGTTTGGTTGTCCATGTGCAGCTCAGTTTCCCAACTCAGTAGCTTTGATTCTTTGGTCAGTCCAGATCTAATATAATTCTGTTGCAGTCTGTGGCGTTGCCACCTGCAACTCATAGCTGCAGTTGCAAGGGGTAGTTCCTTTTTATCACTTTGTTTAAAGGTGTGTAGTGAATCCAAAATGGGTTAGTAAAGTATGAGTTTAGAGAAGCTCGAAAATATACACCCACTGTGATACCTGGTTTGGGGAATTCTGCATAGGGAGTAAAGAGGGAAAAGGCTTCCATAGCCATAACTCTCAGAGAGTTCTAGCAGTTCTAGAAGTTATAAAGTATTTTAAAAAAAGCCTTCTTGTGAAATTGTAGATAAGAAGCTGGGTTAAATCAAGACTGATATAAAATAGTGTTTCCCAGACCACTAACACTCACACAGAGTGAAAAGTTCTTCCAAGAGCACTTTGATGCCTTCAAGTATGTGTTGCTGAAAGTTCAGTCAGAATTTGTAGCTATTTCGCAATAAACATCTGACATTGTTTACTGCAGCAGAGCTGATCAAGCAGAAAACAGTTTTTCTTCTCATAAACAGATGTGGTGAGCAGCAGGGTGTAATTATTTGTATCGTCCAGAAGAACCGCTCAGCATACTAAGGATTTTGAAAGAAATATATTACAGGGAACACCAAAGGTGTGGGGCTGCAGAGACAAGCAGAACCTGGAATAGCAGGAGATTCATCTAAAATAAAAAGGCTGTTTAATTTGATCTTTGATACCCAGTAGGTTCTCCAGGAACCCATCAAAAAATTTAAATTACACGCTTTTCTGAAAAACATGAGAACAGCATTTGTTGCAAAACAGCCAAAACACTCAAGTCCAAATATTTCCCAAGAAGAAACCCACCCTGGAGGGACGAGTTTGTTTGTGGGGCTTTTGTTTGGTTTTGTGGGGTTTTTTTACAAACTGTCTTCCCAGCTGCCTTGAAAGCCAAAGCTTTTATTGCAGGAATTAATACTTTTGGATAGATCTCCTAATGTGTTCTCCATGATATTCATGGATCCTTTAAGAATTGACACCCAGTGTGGTCTCCAAAGAGTACCATCCCCTATTTCTCTGGATATAGACCACCCATACACCTGTACAACAGCTTCCTTGGCTGCAGCATCATTTAGAAGTCTCAAGTTTGCAAGACTACTTTCTCGGTCTCCATACTGACTTTCAGGGAAAACATCCTTGCAGAGCGGGTGAAATGGAAAATATGCATCCCTTATGGCCCATTATCCTGACATCCACTGCCTTTCTCAGTACATACTATCTTCCCAGAAAAATTCCAGCCTTCAGAGGAGATGAAAACAGAAGGAGAAAGAGGTACATTGACTGTGATGTATTAGTTCATTTTCCATCTCATACAGATATTTTTCCACACTGCATGAGAAACCTGCACACCAAGCCTATGACTGAGGAGAGTATCTCCCCTTCAGACCATGCCGTGCATTGCTCCAGGCCCTACATACCTGTATGGCTTTGCCAGGTAGTGAGCCAGGCCACATTTCCTTCTGAATCAAAATGGGCAACAACGTGACCTCTGTCATGTGGACAGGAACTTGTGGATTGGTTGAAAAGTCCTGTGAGCTTTCACGGTGAAAGGTGTAAGAGAAATTTAAAACAGAGGAGGAAAAACCTATTCTACCTCAGTAGCATGGAGCTGCCTGGAATCTTTAGTCTCTTCAAACTGGGGGGATTACTGTCAGATAAAATTCTGAATTTTAAGATTTGGAAGTGTACAGGCAGTAGCTCGTTGGAGCAGGAAGAAAGTGGGTGATGCAGCTCTCCTACCTGTTACCTCGAATATTTCATAATATGTCAACTCAAAAGATGCTTTTTTCTGCCACCCACTACCATTTTGCATATCCCTCTTCTGAGCCAGTTCATCAAATAGTGCACTTGCATCTGACAAATCTTTTACAGAGCACAACTGCTATTAGGCTGAAATGTTCTGTAAACACACAAGTTTTCATGATGGCCCTGGGACAGATCCTACACTCAGTGGGGACAAAACCTACAAAAGCTGGTCTGATCAAGTAACCAGATTCTCCATGGAATAGAGCAGATAGATGACATTTAAATAGTATACAAAGCTTTTCTTCAGCTCCTGGTTTTTCCTGAGTATTAAGATGACAATGAATCATCTAAATGTTCCTCTAGTCTTGGCTCTCTTCTGAATACTCTTTGTCTGAGAAGTCCATTGCATTTGACTCCTTATTCCAGACAGTTGACTGTGATGATAAATTGCAGCAAGTTCAGTGGATGGCCACCAAGATGGATAGGGACTGGGACATTTGCCCTATAAAGAAGAAACTGAAGAAACTGAGCTCATTTAGCCTAAGTAAGAGGGAATTCTAGGGGAGATTATCAAGAAAGCAAAGCCAGGCTCTGCACAGTAGTGCATGGTGAGAGGACAAAACTGAGAGACATAAATTGTAATTTAAAAAAGGCATGACTTGATATAAGCAAAATCTTTTTCATGATGAGGACAGCCAAGCATTGGAACAGATTGTCCAGAGATGTTGGATTAATCTCAATCCTTGGAGGTTTTCAAGACCTAAGTGGCTAAAGCCCTGAGCACTCTGATTTGGTCTCACAGCAGACTCTGTTTTGAAGAGGAATTTGGACTAGAGACAACTTGTGGTCCCTCCTAACATAAATTAGTCTACAATTCTGTGTTGCTATAAATAACATATCTTACAGCAGAACATGTGCTGCCCCCAGCCCATCCCTTTCAGCCATTTTCTACTTTCAACTTTTCTACCACTTTTTCTGTTGATTCAATTATCTTGGTCCTCATCATCCCATATCCAACAGTTAGCTTCCAGGAGGTTTTTCTTTCTCATCACCTTTGAAATATGGAATCTGCAATAAAAGGAAATATCACTTTCATTTCTGTAATAAACTGATTGGGCACTTCCTTCCTCTTTGCAACACCACCTCTCCCCAGTTAACCACTCTCCCCCTGAAGCTTAGCAGCAACCAAAATTGAAATTAAAAGACCACAATTTCTACCCCTTTTTGACCTCTCTGTTATTGGGAGCATGGGTGCTTTTATCTTTTGTGCAGTATTTATGTGCACGTAGCAAATTTTGAGCAGTATGATTTCACTGGTAAAAAAACCCACTTGATCTGTAAAAAGACAATGACTAATAGCGAAACTTCTGCAATAAGAATTTTAAGGTCACATATAGGCACACTGACTGACCCAGAGGCTGTACCAGCATTGCCTTTCCATAGCCTGCTGTTGTATGAGAGGATTGCTATTCCTCAGACTGAAAAGGAAAAACAAATTTTTCTTTTTTGAATTGCTCACCTTTCTTTCACCCATCCTTACTACCCACTCAGTGGTGAAAACAAAACTCCTCATTTTGCCAAGGAGTAGAGATTATTTTCAGAGTTCTGTTTACCTATTTTATTTAACCCAAGTGAGTTTGCACATGAAACCGTTAGATGTGTTCCCTGAGAATGATCCTAATTTATTTTGGGAGGAGAAAGAGTGCATGTTTATGCAATCTCTATGGAACATAAGTATCATAAAATGAAATTAGGAAAGCAGTGGAACCGATCTGATGCTTTCAGTTCTCTTGCAAATCGTGTCATCTGGTTTATGCAGTCGCCCTCCGTTGTTCATCGGGATGTGATGAACTGGTTTCAGTTTCTCTCCCTCAGGACAGTATTCTGAGACCACTCTTTTGTCACAGTCATCAAATAATTTGGGATGGAATTGACCTTCAGATCCAATCCCCTGATGAAAACAAGTTAGAACTGGTTACTTGGAGCCTGTTGGTCACGTTTTGAATACACCTCAGTGTCCATCTCTAAGGAACAGCATTAGTATTCAAGTGCCAGCTGTATTTCAAACCTATGTTTATTACTCTCAGCCCAGCAAGAGGGTGGGTTTGCCACCTTCCAAGTCCTTCCAAGGTGGGTGACTTGATTTAACCAGCTTTCAGTAATCTTCCTATGAATGTTGTCTTATCTGGCCCATACAGGAATCCATAGTTTGTGCTAAAGCATAACATATTACCTGTCTAAGCTGCCTGCTACATAGACCTTCTCTTGCAAAGATGTTAAAGTACCTTTTAAGTTCCGCTTGATTTCTAGGAAGCAGAGTATTGACCTCACTTTAGATATGGAAAATGCACTTGCTGACAGGTTACAGATGTGACAGAGTTGGGAGACAACTCCAAAGCCCCCTCCCCTGCCCATCCCTGGGCTGTGCTTCACCATTTGCCGTACAACCACGAGTAACCAAAAAGCACGTTTTTTGCCATCACCATTCAGATGGCTCAAAAATTCATGTATCATGGAGGGGAGAACAGCCTTGGTGAGGCCGGTGCCAATGAGCACTGCTACAAGCCTTATAAGTGTAGCTGGGATACTCAGGATCTGGTTTCCTGTCCAAATCCCAATCCCATTTTGGCATCTTTCCAAAGCAGCCCTCAGCTGAGGCCAAAGGACCATTTGTGTCTGATTCCCCGCCCAGCAGACCGGTGCAAGAGCCTCACTTCTGGTTTCATTCAGACTCCGAATGGTCCCTTTTGCTGTTGGACGCAGTTTGACCCGCAGCTCGCGCGGCTGTTCTCCTTCAGCTGTTAGACACGAACCATCGGCTTTGCTTCCCACGCGTCAGAAGGCGGGGAAAAAAACGCATCCTGACTACTTTTAAAGTACAAATAAACCACGAGAGAAACAGCAAACAGGAGAGTTTAACAGCAGCATCCAGCACCGCGGTGAGGAGCAGTTCGAGCGGCGCAAACGGTCCCTCACGGCGGTGCCGCGGGCCCGGACCGGCCCCGCCAGCGCCGGCAGCGCCCGCAGCGGCCACCGGGTGGCACCCGCGCTCCGCCCGCAACGGCGGGACCGGCACCGGCCACCGGGGGATTACGGGAAAACCTGAACGAGGGAGGGAAACACTGCAGTTTGTCCCCAACAAAACTTTCTTTCAAGGGCCTGGTATATATTTTATATATATATATATATATTTATATTTATATATAGATATTTATTTATATAGGCGAGTCCTGGGGGCACCAGTCCGCATGGGGGGCCTGGTCTGGGGCATCCAGATTCACGATAACGGGTCAGGCAACGCTCCAGTTCCAAATGGGGAAGGGCCAGTGCCAGCTCTCTTGTTGATCCGGTGACAGAGCAGCTTCCAAAGTCTGCAGCAGCCAGGACACTCACTTCTCTTTTCTCAAACGCTGAGCACGGGTTGCACTGGGGATACTACAAGTTACTAAACAAGCATCATCCTTTACACACCACTCTTCAAACACTGATCTACCCAGGGATTCTGAATAACACAGTAAATTAAACAATTCTTATGAAAACTAGGGGCGTCTTGGGGAATACAAGGGAGTCTTTCAGCTAAAATTGTTGTGCAATCTGTCTAAATGTCAGAATCTTAACAATCAGCCTGATTTTCAAATGTTTTCACCTAGTTTTCTAAGTATGGACTTAGTTACTGGAGTTGTGACACAACGATTTCAGGTCATTGCTAACAAAACTGCACAATTGTGGGAACACTTGCAAGACTGGAAGTGACTCAGGAGCCTGAATTAGTTGTTAAAATGCCCTCCTAGTAAAAGGAATAGACTGCAAAACCCATTACAGTTGCAACCTCTCACTGGCAAATTGCAGCCTCATTAGTAATCTTGGCAAGATGACGGGGGTTTTACATTACTGATCCCCTTGTTAGCCCTCAAGTGTGCAACTGAAGCGCTCTTTTGGGAGCAGTTTGTGGAAGTGAATGTTGTAAATATATTTCCTTTATAGGCAAACAGATGCTCTCTGTCTTTGGAGCCATCAAATTCGTGCATTCACAAACACACAACTCACTTAAAAATAAATGAGAAGTGAAAGTAGTAGTTAAACCTGCCAAAAATGAAGATCTAATGACAATTGTAAGCACATAAATTTTGCTGTATTTTCCCAGTGGGCCAAGACACAGAAAGTAACATAAAGTAACTTCCTCTCCCCCACAACTGTCTCTTAGCTTTTCTATATGGCAAGGATGAGATATATATAGATAGATATAGATATAGATATCGATAGATAAAATTGAAAAACAGATTAATCAATGACATAGTGACTTGCAATGTACTGACATTACTATAGAGCAATAGCAGTTGTTCTCAGACAGACAGTAGGTGGTCCTGTTCAGGTACTCCACTACAACAAGAAATTTATATAATTAGGAATTGGTCTGACACAAATGTCTCCAAGCACTCCCGCAGTGTCCCTCTCACCACAGACTGGCCAGTAGCATGTGTGATGCATATAGTAAAGGAGCAACATTATTTCTCAACTGTGTCTCAATTTTTTTCATAGGTTGTTTAAAGCAGGCTGTTCTTCCATTAAGTTGACCTGGGAAAGCTGTGGAGCATCCAGGCAGACTGCTTCCACATCAGTAGAGCACATTGGTAGAAGTTTAACACGTTTCCCAATAATTGCCCACAAATGCTTTATGAGGGACAAACAGTTCCACGAAGCTTCTCAGACAATATTACAGAGCCTCAGGAAGGGCTTTTCTCCCAAGGAGAAAGAAATGCCACACCTTGAGGAGAGTTTGTCATGGGCTGTAAACAAGGTGTCCTTAGCCACACTGTTCAAAACTCTTTCTCCTCCGTGTTCTTCCTCTGTTCATTAGGTACTGGCCCCTGTGTGGCTTCTGCTTTGAAAGAATTAATTATTCAAGCTGCCTACGTATCTCTTTTCAGCAAGAACTACCCCCATTGTGTTACAAGGACAAAAACCTTCCATAACAGCCGGGACAGATGGATGAAGCCTGGCAACACTTTTCAGAGGAGTGCCACACCTCTGTGTTATCAAACCTGGGTTTATTTGCAAACCTCGTTTTCTTTGATAATTTAATTACACTGCTACTCTTGAGGATATTCTTGTTGTACAAAAACATCATATTCAATTATTTTTTTAGTGTCTCATAATGACAAAAAAATGGAAAACATGATCCAGATGCAAACTAAAAGCTGAACAATTGAAAGAATACAAACTATGTCATTTAATAAAAATCTCATTTAAGAAATTATTATCTATCTCTTGGTGGCTTTTTAACATGTTAGGGATGGAAACACTGCTGTATTATTCAGCAAATATCCCTACTGGAATACTTTCTTCTTTCCATAGTGATACTATATAAGCTGTGCTGTCTCGAGGGAATTGTAACAGTGCAGCACCAAGATGCTGTGCTGAGATATTTTTGCCTTCATACTTCCTTTCCTGCAGGGCTTTCTGCCTCTAAAAAGATGTCTGAGTTGCTTTCGCCTGTTTCTCTCACTTCTTTGATCTGTTTGATCATTATAGTCTAACCTATTCTTAATTTCCTCTTGCTGGCCCATTTTGAAAGCCTTGTGTACAATTTCCAGTTGATAAAATTGCCATTGGGATGCCCTTTCTCTCCCTTTAGCATTGATCGTCATCACTCATGAACAGATGCTGGGGAGGCAGATGATCTTTCAAATGTAGCAAGGAAGACTAGGAGGAGAGTGCCTGGAGGCAGATCCAACCACTTAGAAGCGTGTAGTCACACACCATGGTGTTAGCTTGCTTCAGGGAGGGAGGGGAGCGAGAGCCGAACATCAAAGTGCAATGGAAATGTAAAATCCTTAGTGCTGTGATTCCTCCTTTCATCTGTGCTTTTTCTCCTGGCGAGGTGTTGCAGGCAGTTCTGCTTTCTATGCTACTGAATAGACTCAGGCTTCGGTGAATGTAAATGGAGCTCCTGGATCAGTTTTTTTATCCTTTAGAAGTTCTAACACTCTAAAATTAATTTGAGATTGAATATTTTCAATCAGCAAAAGCAGGTGCAAACAGTCTTTCTAGGACAAACAAGGCACAGGTATTCTTCAGGCTCAAGTTGCAACAAGATGGGGAAGAGCAGGAAAATTGGGAAGACTTCTAGGGGACTCCATATTCCGGGTCAAGTCATATGCTGCATGGTGGTGACAGACCAGAAGCTTTGGTTCAGGATCCTGCCCCTCCTTTGGAGACGGTGTCTCATCCCAACTGCAGGACTGTCAAAGCACAGCCACACAGGGTTGGGGTGCCAGGGGCTTCCCCAAGGTCTGCAACCAGACCTGGATCCCACAGGCACTGCCCACACTGGGGCTGCCCCACGCTGGGTGTGGAATCGAGTTGTACTCCCTGACCCCTTGTTGCTCGTGCTATTACTTAGCTGCTCTGCTGCACTCTTCTGTCTTGTCTCTCGTATTCCATTTGGTTTTCCCTGTACATTCAGTTACTAGAGAAAATGTTGGCATCATTGTCTCCCTGTACAGCCCAGGCAACTGGTGCCTTCAGTTTGGGGAGCGTGAGCAACTCTGTAACATCTCTTTCAGTGCTCCCATAGACCCATGATTATTGTACACAAGAGATTGCAGTGAGAAAAAGAAAGCTGTGTATAATATAAAGTTAACACAGCAAGAACTCCAAACTGAAGGAAATAGAGATCTTAAGGCCAGTTTTTAAAATATTGTCAAGAAATTCTAGAAATACTTACTAACTTAATTACTTGGAGCTATACCAACAGGCAGCCTAAAACAATAATGTTTACTTATTTCTGAAGCACTTTTTACTTTTTTGAATAGTCTCGAAATTTTTTTCCATATGTGGAGGCCCAGGCTGAATTAAGAAAGAAGAAAGGCTTCTGTAATGTGACATGCACAGTATCTGATGACCTGTGGTTCAACCTATTGAACAAACTGCTGCTGGCAAACATTTTGAGTAATCAGTTTTCCGTATGAGATTAAAGGGGAAAAAATATTTCTGCAACTTACAGATTACAGTGAGGCCTGAATAGACACTGTGTGAAAATGTTTCTGTGGTGGGTTGACCCTGGCTGGATGCCAGATGCCCACCAAAGCCGCTCTGTCTCTACCCTGCTCAGCTGGACAGGGGAGAGAAAATACAATGAAAGGCTCTTGGGTCAAGATAAGGGTAGGGAGAGATCAATCACCAATTGTTGTCATTAGCAAAATAGACACAACTTGAGGAAATTAGCTTAATTTATTACCAATCAAATCAGACTAGGATAATGAGAAATGAAACCCTTCTCTTCTTCCCTGCCTTAATACTCATGAGTTCTCTCCCTCCTTCCCCTGGCTGCATAGGGGGGTGGGGAATGGGGATTGTGGTCAGTCCGTCACACCTAATCTCTGCTGCTCCTTCCTCCTCAGGGGGAGGACTCCCCACACTCTTGCCTTGCTCCAACATGCACTTCCCAAGGGGTCACAGCATCCTTTGGGTATCCACCTGCTCTGACATGAGGTCCTCCAGGGGCTGCAGGTGGATCTCTGCTCCAACATGGACCTGTATGGGCTGCAGGGGCACAGCTGCCTCACCATGGTCTGACCATGGGCTGCAGGGGAATGTCTGCTCTGGCACCTGGAGCACCTCATCCCCCTCTTCCATTGACCCTGCTGTCTGCAGGGCTGTTTGTCTCACATATCCTCACTCCTGTCTCCATCTGCACAGGGTTTTTTCCCCCCTCTGAACTACCTTATCCCAGAGTCACTGCCACCATTGCATGGGCTCAGCCTTGGCCAGTGGCTGGTCTATCTTGAAACCATCTGGCACTGGCTCCATCAGACACAGGGGAAGCTTCTGGCAGCTTCTCAGAGAAGCAACCCCTCTAGCCTCCCCTGCTACCAAAACTCTGCCATGCAAACCCAACACAGTGTTAAACAAATTTGGCTACATCTGCTGCATAAAATCAAACCCAAAAGTTACCATAGTTCATAGTGAGCAATGCTCA